TGAAGACCTTGGGTGACAGTCACGCTATATAGTGAATTGACAGAAGTTAGAAATTGTGAACCACTGGAAACTGACCCAGTGGTTGAATGGTTAACGCGTTCGCAGTGAAACCTGAAGATCCTGGGATCGATCCCAACCGGGTATGTGCTTACTGCTGAGAAGTCCCACACTGGTTGGACGAAACAGCTGTCGAGTGCTCCCAGATTTCCAATGGTTACCCAACTGATGTTAGTCCTTGATGAATACTACTTCTAAATTAAAATCCCCATTCATCTCAGAAATTGTTTTATCATGTATTATTTTGTTCCAAATAAAAGTTGTTTATCTGTGACCAAACGCTAATCGAAAGACACGTCAAGGTTATTGAAATAAATAAATAAAATGGGATTTTCAAATGAACGATATTTAACCTTGACAAAATGCATTACTTATTCACCTAATTAGTTGGATACCAATCTGATTACCCAATAAATGCTAAGGTTAAACTGAGATATTAAAGTAACAGAGACATTTTTCAGTGAATACGGAGCTTATCGAAACGCTGTCCTAAGAGAATCCTTTCAAAAAACGAGGTGAATTCTTCAGATTATTTAAATCTGATCGATTGAATGAACAAGAATGTAGGTGTTAAAATATTTATCAATCATACAGACTATTAGTAACAAAAGACAAATTAGCTAAGAAAATTTTATTTTTCAACGAACCGTTTTCAAAAGTTATACAATTGTAATCTTATCACAACGTGATAACGGAAAGAAGGTCAACTCAAGGTCATCAAAATTGCCTACAGGATTACAACAAATAAACAAACTGTAGGCACGTGGTTGTGACCTAAAGCGGCAGTTTATCCTTAAAACGTTAATTCATTTCTTTGTTTACCATTTGTTTATTTGTTGTAATCTTGTAAACAAGTCCTGATGACCTTGACTTGACCTTCCAGCCGTTGACGTAATAGCAACTGATAGGTACATATATTTTGTAGTATCTTTATTTACAAATGGACAGTTTCACAAAACGATTCTCCATAAAGAAAATTCTCTCCGCTGAATTCTTGTTTGCTAATTTTCCCTTCCCTAATGGGACTATACTGACAGAGAAATCTGTGGCTTTATATTTACTAGGAGGAGAAATATACTGACTACCTGTTGACATTCATAATATGTTTGACTGAGAGAGAAGTTTTCATTTGAAGAGATTGAGTCGTAATCATTTTACTTTGGTCAAATCCTTGTATACCAAGAAAGTATTTCATTCAACTCATATTCTGACTTCTGAAAGGGGAACATTTCTTGACTACACATACTGTCTATGAAACCTTTGAAACGATGCTGCCTCCTTGGTAGGTAGTTAGGTGTGTAGGTAGGTAGGTAGGTGTGTAGGTAGGTAGGTGTGTAGGTAAGTAGGTGTGTAGGTAGGTGTGTAGGTAGATAGTTAAGTGAATGAGACAACTTCCTTTACATTTCTCCGTTGATGGTGATTGATGTCTGTTGTTGTTGTCGTTGTGGCTGTTGTTCTTTGGGTATCTTCATCACCTCTGTCTTCTTCTTCTCTACGCTCACATGAAGGAAGTGCCATCTTCACTGCCTCGCCTGACCTTTTCTACCAACTTGTTTGTTTTTGTCTGTAGATCTTCGAGTTTGTAAGACATAAGACATTAGACATAAATCGTCATCATGGGCGAAATCCGAATCTCCCAGGCTCTTTTCAACAGTTAAACAGTGTATGCCCATCTTCTCACAGCTCCTCTCAATTTCTTGCATGATCCAGTCCAGTGCGGTCGACCACAATCAGGAAGATGATCGATGATGGTATGCGGCAACCTTTTGTTACCTGTCAACCTGTCTTCACTTTAGAGGCATCACTGAGCTTTCCATTGTGAATCACTTGGCATGTAGTATCGTCAGATAGCTGCTGTTGAATGAGGTCGATAAAGGTTTCTAACACTCTGTATTGTTGAAGCAGCTGCCAAATTACTTCTCGGTTGACATCTCAATCGAAGGCGTTTTCAAAATCGATGAAGTTTGGGTTGAGTTGACTGCAATTCTATGCTATGTTCAGTGACGATGCGTAGCATAGCGTTGCAATTTGATCCACACATGATTTGTTCTTCTTGAAGCTAGCCAGCCTGTTCGGGTTGTAATTTTGAATGCAGAGCATCTTTTAGTCTCTCTAGGATGATGCAGCTTAAAATTTTGGTTAAAGGGGACAGAAGCATGATTCCGCGTCAGTCCTTGTAAATGCTTAGGTCGCACTTCTTTAGGATTTTGACTAGGTATCCCTTCTTCTAACCAGTCGGCAGGTACCTTTCCTTCCTTCCTTTTTCACAAGCTAATAACTCTTAAGGCCGGGAATTAGCTGACATTCGTAGAACTTAAGAATGGTTCACTTCTATATGAAGTAAATACTTATAAAATCATCTAATCTGCTAATGAAACGTCTAATAACAAATTTGAAAGTTCAGAGAAGACGTAATGATTACACCCTAGTCCTGAGCTGCAGATCTTCTTTACTTTGGTATGAATTTCTACGACGTTCTCAGTCTTTTCAGGGTAACAAAAACACTACTAATAGGTATCAGAAGACATCAAATATATAATCAGTTTGAGGCTTTCAAATAGAGGTTTGAGCGGTTTCAAGGCGGCTTTCATTAGATGCATATTAGCGATCAGTTTCGAGATTAATTTCACAAGATTCAACTGTGAAGCTGTAATATATGTGCGATCAACTGAATTGAGGGTAAGGATGAATCCATCCATTGATAACCTAAGATAATGGTCTCGCTAAATTCTAAACTGACAAAAGTGGAAATATATAAAACATAGCCCTGAATTTCAACCCCTTAATTGTGTGATAAGGACCCCCCCAATGGTCTTAGTTTTGACGTTGTATAAAGTCGTCAGCGTGTACATTTGAAGAGTTTGATGTTGTGAGGAAACAGCTAACTACTACCTTCTAGTTTTCAGTAGTTCTGGGGTTGGTTTTACTTATTCATTTATGGATTTTAAACACTAAAATCAAGGCAGTGCATCTATATGGTTGAGAGACTTACCGCCTTACGAAAGCATATCCAACAAACTACAGACATACATGAGCTGCTGCCATCTATGCTCATTCGATACTGAAGATTAGATCAGAAGGCCAGAAAGAATAAGCAACAAGGAACTCTGGCCTGGCAATGAACCAACCAACAAAACAAGAATCTATTGCCCAACAAAAATGAAGAAGGAGAAAGTGGAGATGGATTGGATTGGATTGAACATACACTGAGAAGACGGTTCGGAAACATCACGCACCAGGCGACGGCGTCGGAGTGGAAGCCAAATGGGGAACTGCGAGTTGGGAGTCCCGGCTGAGGGTGACATGGAGGATATGATGTGAGAAAGAAATGAAAGCTTGTGGGAAGTAGTGGAGCCAGGTTAGAAAGACTGGATAGAAGAGAGTGAAATGGCGACTTGCTTCTGAATCCCTATATTCCACTAGCGATCCAAAAGACAAATAATAGTCATAATAATGAATAGTAATGTGGCTTTATGATAGATGTTCACCATTTCACATGGATTCTCGACACACTGGTTCCTTTTTGTCCTGAGGATGCTAATCTTGTAACATATTATACTCTTAATGGATGAAATGAGTGGTCAAAGGTTTCATAGACAGTATGTGTAGTCAAGAAATGTTCCCCTTTCAGAAGTCAGAATATGAGTTGAATGAAATACTTTCTTGGTATACAAGGATTTGACCAAAGTAAAATGATTACGACTCAATCTCTTCAAATGAAAACTTCTCTCTCAGTCAAACATATTATGAATGTCAACAGGTAGTCAGTATATTTCTCCTCCTAGTAAATATAAAGCCACAGATTTCTCTGTCAGTATAGTCCCATTAGGGAAGGGAAAATTAGCAAACAAGAATTCAGCGGAGAGAATTTTCTTTATGGAGAATCGTTTTGTGAAACTGTCCATTTGTAAATAAAGATACTACAAAATATATATACCTGTCAGTTGCTATTCAAACTGGAAGATTTACAGGCAGAAACTAACAAGTTGACGGAAGAGGCAGCGAAGACAGGACTACAAGTGAGCGTAGAGAAGACAGAGGTGATGATGATACCCAACCAACATCACCACCACCAACAACAACAACAGGCTTCAATCACCATCAACAGGAGAAACTTAAGGGAAGTAGCCTCCTTCACCTATCTAAGCAGCACCGTTTCAACTACAGGGGGCGGCACAGGCACAGACGAGGACGTCAAAGCCAGCCAGGATCGGAACAGCAAGCAAGACAGGAGTTCATCAACCTGAAATCAGTGTGGAGATCTTCTGCACTGCACTCAACATAAAGCGTGAACATGATCCGGATTTTCAACACTATTCCAGTCAAGTCAACGCTTCTATATGGTTCGGAGACTTCGCGCTTTACGAAAAGCATTTCCAAAAAACTAAAGATATTCATCAACAACTGCCCCCTACGCTGGCTGGTTACTGAATATGAGATCAGATGGCCAGAAAGAATAAGCAACAAGGAACTCTGATCTGCCAACGAACCAACGAAGCAAGAACCTATCGGTCAACAAATATGAACTGGAAGGGAGTGGAGATGGATTGGGCATACACTGAGAAGACCATTCGGGGACATCATGCGTCAGGCCAAGCTAGGGCAGATCGTCGAGTGGAATCGAACTGAGAAACTGTGAGTTGGGCGTCCAATGGTGACATGGAGGATATGGTGTAACAAAGAAATGAAAGCGTATAGGCAGTAGTGGAGCCAAGTTAGAAAGATTGGAGAGAAGAGAGTGAAATGGCGACTTGGTACTGAATTCCAATGTTCCACTATGAACTCAAAGGACAAATAATGGTCATAATTATAATAATAGTAGTAATTTATTCATGAACAGACCAGTGAAACTTAATCAATAGTAAATAAAAAATTAATTAATTATTTAGTGTCACAATTACTTAAAACAATCATTATGTATTCAATGAATTTTTTTGACTTACCTCCAATAGACATTTGTTTATCACATACTACAGACTTGCTTGAAGTATTCAACAACTTGTGGAACTGTTTAACTCTTTGTCTATTTTGTTTTATCCCCCATTGACTAACTTTCATTATATTGTCATCAATATGATTATCATGATAATAATGTTCAACATCAGTTGACGATGATGATAGTGACAAGTAGGCAGATATGGAAGATGAAAAGTCGATTTCATTTTCCATTGATTGTATCTTCATATGTTGAATTTGACTTCTTTGTACTTTCTGTTGAATTTCTCCTCTTCTGTTTTTTTTGCTTCTTCGTCTTCTTTGATTTCTTCTTGCTGTTGTATCACTTTTTATTATCAGATCATAATAAGCCAAAGGATTCGTTTGTACATATGAATCTGTTACAGGTTTAAATTCTACATCTTTTAATACTGTTGCTTGAGTTTCTGTTGTCTTAAACGATTGATGAAAAGGAATTGTTGATAAAGGTGAATTGACTGTTTCTGGGCAGTTTACACAGATGTCATGATGAGATTGAAGGAGTATTGTAGGCTGAAGTTTCACAACAAAGGGTTCAGATTATCACCATACACATTACATCATATATTATTATTATTACTACTATATTGTAATTGACTTACGAGGTGCCTATCAGTGGAATATAGGTGCGACCTTCGTCTTATTTGGAACTCATCAGCTAGATTTACCTGCACCCCATTGAATGTTGATGTCAACACTGGGATTCGAACCTAGAGCCCATCGCCTAGGAATTATATTATTATTATATGTCCGTTAGGTTCCTAGTGGAACATAGGGCTTCTGTAGCACATCTTCACTGCACTCTGTTTTCTGCAGCCTTTTGAACCTGGCTCCACGACTGCCTAGAAGCTTTCATTTCTTCCTCACATGATCTCTTCCATGTCACCGTTGGACGCCCAACTCGTTGTTTCCCCTTTGGATTCCACTCAACAGCCTGGTGCTTGATGTCTCCGAATGGTCTTCTCAGTGCATGCCTAATCCATCCCCATGCAGATCCCTTCAGGGATGTTGCTCAATGTCTCCCTTTTTTTTCTGATGGCTGATGTGAAGATGTCCCTTGTAGTTTCATCCTTCAGTTTCTGTTGTGGGTGCTCAATTTGAACTGTGGTCTATCACCGGCTTCTTTGAAGGCTTTCAACTTGATTTGGAAGGTTCCTTGCTCTAGGTAGTTAGTGGTGTGAACCTATATCTACTTCTCTTCGTTATCATATGTCCACTAGGCTGTGTCTCCACTTTCTTCACATTGAGATGAAGTCGATCTGAGTTTTAGTGTAGTGTGTCCATCTGGTGAGATCGAATCCATGTCACTCGCTTTGTGAATATCCTTGTGTTTGTACGCACTGCCTAGCCTCCAATCACCAGATCGTTGAATGAGCAGAAATCTTCAAACAGTTTTTGCGTTCTCATTCATTTCACCATGATGAGTTCTCTATCTGTGTTGTCTGCTTCCAGTTTGGCATTCATGTCGCCAACTGGGGTGGAGTCTTGTCTAGTACTGATTGCAGTTGTCTGTAGAATTCCTCCCTCTTCTCTTCATTTGCATTATTTATTGGTGCGTAGTGTAGCATTGTGACTTTCCTTCCTTTGAGTTGAATCCATCTTGTTGTCATGATGCTGATCCTGAAGGAGGAGATTGGTTCCCACTGTATGAGAGCCTTCGATGCTCTTGAAGGAGATATCATGATAGCCACTCGAAAACTCAGTGTGCTCGTGGTTGTCGTCTGGGTGACAATATCGGAGTACATTATTGAGTCTCCAGTTGACAGTTTGTAGAGTCCACTTCTATTCCATCTGCAGATTCATAGAAGATTCCAAGCACTTCTATGCCATACCTTCTCATTTCTTTTGCAATCTGGGCAGCCTTTCTAGGTTCATACATGGTGCAGACATTCCATGTCCTTAATGTTACCTTCGCTTTCATCGAGAAGATCCATATCGGTCGACTGGCTTCCCGAAGGCTTTCACCAACTGGCATCATTTCGTCTCTATGATTGCAGAGAGGAATAAGTTTGCTTTTATTTTTTATATTTTGTTTGTGCTTTGAAGTTTCTGTAGCGGTTTGATTTGTTTTTCGGAGTAGGGTTGCTAACCGTATGCCCAACCTTTCCTCTTTATGTGGGCTTAGGACCGGCTAGTAACTAGGCGAGGTTATCGCTATTAAAGCCAGAGGGTTATTCATCAGACCATCTCTTTTGAGACTGGTATTAATTATTATTATGCTTCGTATTGTCAGATACATAAGGATATCTGATAAGAGAATAATGATTTGATTTAAAGGAAGTGACAGTTTCGATAAGTTCAATCTCATTTGAAACTTTGTGAATAGTTGTGCTTAACACTTATCATTCACATTGGCTATAATACATTGAATCGAAGTGAATAATCGAAATGTAGTCAGCAACCTAGAAAAACATTCGTACAGTTATTGACAGGGAATCAAACTTATTTTATGAAGTCTGTTGATGATTTTACTATCTGGTTACCAAAACATGTTGGTAGGTAGGATGGGGTTCGAACCCATACCCAGTGACTGGAAGTCAACTGCTCAAATCAATGACCAGTGCCTCCATACTGGATTGTATAGTTAGGTTTCCATTAGGAAATTAACTCTTTGTGTTGAAACTGTAATATTTATTGGGTTCACTTCTTAGTAAGCATAACATGATTCACTTAGGTGAATGTATGTTCACTTGATGAGTTACAAAGACAGAAAAAAAACAAGTAGATCAACATAGAATCTTGAGCACAAGTGAATCACTACTTCCAATTACTATACTTCACAGCAACGTTGAAAGAAAACGGGAGGTAAATGATGAAAGACATGAAAGTCAGTAAACTGTATAACTCCTTTTGTCTTGAAGATCCTAGTCAAGCAATTTCCCTCTATACACACACACAGACTAACCTAAAGAAAACTGAGTAAAGCATGGAAATAGGTAGAAAAAAAAAGTAAGCTGTGGGATAATTAATTTTTTCAGATTAAAAAGCAAATGATAAATGCATTACATGTATATAAGGGCCAATGAACAGTATACTTGTGTCTTGACAGATAGTCAGATATCTCACTGACACCGTAAGTCATAAAACAAGTATTCCTGAAGTTCCAATGAGAAGTCGTGACCGGTGGAGTCAAAGCCTGATGGCCGTGAGGACAATTACTCAACGATGACATTGGGTGGTGGTTTGCGCTATATCGTGAGCTAACATAATTTGGAAATATGGACCATTGGATTCTAACCCAGTGGCTAGCTCAATGGTAACCAGCTGGACACGGAACCTGAAGGTCGCGGGTTCGGTCCTCGGTAGTGCGGGGTTGTGGTTGCGCACTGCTGAGGAGTCCCATACTAGTCAGACGAAACAGCTGTCCAGTGCTCCCAAGTTTTCCTTTGTTACTCCAACTGATGTCAGTCTACGATGAATAACAACTTGAAAGAATATTTCTACCAAAAAGATGGCAATGGACACTAGTGATAACTGGACAACAGTTTGAGCTTATCAATCTCTGTCTCCCTCCATCCAACTAAGTTAGTTCTGAATACTGTCACTCCATCCTACCCTACTATGGGATTGTGTGTAATTGCTTGCAGAGCTATAGTTTGTCGAGCTTTTCTCCGAATTTCTTATCTTAATATGATCTACCAGTCTTGATTTAGCCAAATTTCGTGCTTTGTTATTCTAATTGATCCTAGTCTACTACTTTGACTGACCTATGTATTCGACCTCGCAATCATTGAAAGAGACTTGATAAACTAGATTATTTTGTTTAATTACATCAGTAGGATCTGTTAACCTGCAAAGCTTGTTTCTAAGCGAATTTATCAGTTTAAACACCACTTTAATCTCAGCCTTATTAAGAATTCTTCGTAATCCTTCTGGCTTGCCCTCCTTGTATGGTAACACAAAAGAGGCTTTGAATTCTTCGTCAACCCGGTTACTTTGATAAATATTAGTGGCAGAACTGCTACACCTGCATTATACACTCAACATTCCTCCTTCTCCTCCTCCACCTACGACTAAAATTCCTACTACTACTACTCACACTACTGCTGTTACTCACACAACTACTACTGCTACGCACACTAGTCATACTCACAGTACTACTACTTATATTAATACAACTATGCACATTAAGACTAGTACTCGCATTAAGACCAATACTGCTACTACTACTACTACTAGTACTACTACTCACGCTACTACTACTACTCACACTACTACTACTACTACTCACACAACTAATCGCAATACTATTGCTACTATCACTACTACTGCCAATATTTCTCTTTCGATTCGTTATGAATTTATTGATCCATTTCGGTGAGTTATAACTAAAATGCAAGGTATTCTTTATGTGTCTAATTTTTTGTCGTAGATTTCCTTGCCTACTAGTAAGCATTATGCTCCTAAGCATCTAATTAAGCCTACTTTAGCTAAGACGGGGTGAGATGATTTAAAGTCTAAGTGGCGATTATACGACACTAGTCTCTATACTTCCATCATTCAATCCAACACTTCTAGCTCACTTTCATCACTTTCATCACTTTCTAAGTCACAGTCATGGGACCATATCTTTGCAGCAGGATTAAATGTTTGAAAGGCCATGCGTTCCCAAATATCTATAAATATGTCTACAATGTTGGGGGGATATTGGCGATCCCACGGTAACCCCTTCAGTTTGTTTATATATTTTACTTTGAAACTTAAAAACTGTAGATATCAGACACGATCATACTACCAGCATGATTTCCTTGATGCTACTGTTGGTGGATAGTTGATAGCAGTGTGTACCTTGTCCTTAATGCGACTTATCAGCTGGATTTACCTGCTTGTCAGTGAATGATGCTATTCCCATGGTGACTCAAAGTCACTTTGATAAATGTGAAGGGATTCTTTTTTTCATAGTGTAATAAGATAATGATGGAGGTTATCAGATAAGTGTGTGATGTATTCATGCAATACATTTCGAACAATCTGATCACATAGATTTACTTGTCATGAAGCATTTTATACTGTAAATGATGAAAACACGGTGGTGTATGGTAATTAAATTAAGATTTGGAAAATATGGGTGGGGTGGGGGAGGGAGGGGTGGAATAATAAGCAGGAATAATACAATTTTCACACCTTCGTTGGCATTAATATGAGATAAAGATTATCAAGGTAAAAACAAACCATTTTTGAATACACAAACTGGGGCTTGAACCTTCACTTAGCTAAGACTTCAACTGAACCTAAGTAGCTTGTCTTGACGGTTCGTATACACTGGTGTAAAAGCTGTTTTTGGGTCAATCCTTTGGCCTGTTTCTGTAATGTGTTAATCTATCGAGGATGATGTCTGTCTGCCGCCCCCCATATTTATTGGATTATTTGAATATGTAATCCCATTTTAGTCTGTTTATTAGAAATATCACACAGTGAAACAGTAGCATTTTACTGGATCAAACAAACTTATGGAAGAAAAGCATGCAGCCCACAGTAATGAAATTAACAATAGCATATCACCGATGATCGAT